GACTCTACAAAGGTCTTGGATCAAGTCTCGCTAGGAGCATTGATTGGCCGGTGTGGATTACTAGAACACACACTAGTCAATTAGCAATAAAAAGATTCTGTGTGGAGTACGGAATAATATGTACAGCATTGCCCATTCATCTAGTTTCGAATGAAATGCGCAAACAAATCCTTGAAGATCATGAGCGGTGGCGAAAATCTGTATTATACTTTGTAGATCGATCCAAGGTCATGGTCTGTGTTGGAATACAGAGGCATTTCGGGAAAAAGGAAGCTATGACGGCCAATAAAAGAGCAAGGAATAAGACAATCTTCAAAGAATATCGAAGATCAAAGTCGAGACCCGGAAACCAGAGAGAACTTGTGCAGTTCATCGGATCCGAGCAAAAGAATAATAGCGGCAAACGCGCTTTGCGCGAAAGGGGGGTTGCGTAGGGTGCGGTTGCAGCGGGAACCCCAGATGGAGTCTGTGGAGCCTCTATGAAGGGTACTTTGGTGAAGGCCTGCTGATCGAGAGTGAGACAGCTTTTTAATATTTTGCTTTCTGTTTATTTTTCTTGATGCTAGTCTTGGTGTCTAATCCAATGCACATTGTTCGCCCAACCTAAAGCCAAGGAAAACCGAACGCCCTGTAGTGATCCTAGTATCTTTGAATCGGGGCGGATGTGACGAAGTAGTCCGGACCCGTTGGAGAAAAAAGGAAAGAAAAAAAGCCCCTTGATATACACATATCCACCCCCCACACGGGTATGACTATGATACGTCAGACTAATTCCATGTGCCCATCTACCAAGCTCGGATGTGATGTGCACCTGAACGAGCACCTGAACTAGATCGGGCCCCCGGCCCATCCCCGAGCCAGTCAGATCCAATCTACTTCCAGCAATGATTAATAGCTGAAGCCGGACCTGCGTGACCCCAGATCAAACATCCGGTACTCTCGGACTTTGGGTACTCACACAAACATGAGTTGGCAAGGGCCTTACGCGGTTCGAATCGACTCTTGGACATTGTCTCTCCGATGATAGCCGTAGCCTATCTAGTAATTGTTCGAGAAGTGTGTTTCCCGAGTCGGCAAGCCCTGGCGGTTCACGAGGTGCACGGACGGTATAAACGAGCTTGACGATTGTCTGAAGCTAAACACGACATTCGGTGGCTAGATCGTAGAGGCCCTAGTTATGGAGTCGATCAGCAAAGCAGATATGGGCCCAGGTCGTTTCCAGGCGCTCTTGTCCGACTGGTAAGGAGAGATCAACCAGTTAGAGGGGGTTTACTTGTAATCATCTCCACTCATACACACTCGGAGCTGATTGTTTGTGCACAGCCCTGAATGTCAGTTCCCACACTTTGAACCTTTGGCAAAATAAATGTAATTTAAATAAAAGGTCTGAGATCATGTGGCGGGTAATACTCCCCGGTGAAATCTGACTTTTTTTTTGCGGGGAATCCCTGGGCGTATCACAGCAGTTCCGCAGGCACAACTTCGCTCAATCAGGCATGTGGAATGCAGCTGCCATACCTTTTGAGCTATCCTTTTTTTGACTGAGACTAGTGAAGCTGACTTAGAATTATCGTCTGGTGATCTTCTATTGCTGCCTGTTTCCGACGGTGACTTCATAGCCCATCCTAAAATCATATTTAGATCGTCTAGTCTAGGTCATAGTCAATCATGTTCACCTTTTCTATTTCCTTTTGCTTCCTTTGACATTGAGCGTTCTCGATTAGTCGTTTCTATTTCCAAAAACAGTCTGATCTATACGTGGAACCTTTCCATGGGAAAAGTATGACAGCCTTCTCACTAGTTGCGATTCCAATGTTCGTCTTTCTTTTCGCAGTTAGACACCAAAGACAACTGCTTCAGTGGTTATCACAAAAGTTGAAATGGAACCATGGCTCAAAAAATGTCTCCAATCCATCTGACGTCAAGCGTATGACGCCGTACCCAGCGCAGCCCATCAAAGGCAGAGAACGATACCGCGTAATGATGGACATTCGCAAACTGGACGCTCAGAATTGGCTCACCCTCGACAAGAACTATATGGACGAACACCGGGTGCGGACCCAATTGCTTCACGAGAAAAGAGAAGAAGTCCTACGCTGTTTGCCGGAGTCAATTGAACCCTGCCAGGAGGCATTGGAGGAAGTTTCAGACTTTCTCTGCGAGAGGTTCTCCAATATGTTCGAAATGTCAATCAAAGATGGCCGAAAGGTTATCGACAATTGCATGACTGGCGATAAATTCACTGTCAGCGGGCGCGGCTCTAATGAGGGATTAACTGAGGCACTCGAGGCTGCTGTCCGTCTCACGATGGAGGATCTTAGTATTTTGATGATGAACGAGGAAGGAGAATTTTACTTGTATGTCCAAATCCTATAAATTCAATTCGCCAATCCTGACATCAACACAGGGCTGCTAGCGCAAGCCTTTTTCCAACGGGGTGGACAGTGAATGAGAGAATTGGCTGGACCATCTCTCAACTGCATGGCCCCGTGCCACTATGGCACCAACAAGTCGGTAACTCCGTCAGCAAGTAAGTGATCTCCAAATCAGACCAGGTAAAATGCCTGCAATCGACACAGAAAAGAGAAGGAAAAACTAACAATTCCCAGATTCCTCGCCCGCTTAACCCCAACCTCTCCAATGGAACGCTCAAACTACTTCGTAGAAGTCAAAGGACCAAACGAGAGCCTGACAGAGATCCTCTATCGGCCAAATTCCCTCTGCGAGAAAGAGCTGAGCAGTCCATTGCCATCAGATATCCTGATCCGTCGCGAGAGACAGACTTTCCGTCGACTGCCGCGGACTGGGGCGATTGTCTTCGGTGTCAAGACGTATCTCACGCCGTTAGATGAACTTCCAATGGCTGAGCTGGATAATCTTGCCAAGGAAATGAGGAGTTGGCCTGATTATGTGGGCGAGTATAAGGGGAGGGATGTCTGGGGGGCTAAGGTTTTGGAATACTATCGCCAACGGGTTGAGGCAAAGGCAGGAAATGAGAAGGATAAAGATGAGAGCATTGAAGTTTGACCGGACCTGTAGGATATCTTTTCTTCGCATTTTGGCTCTGGAAGATCAAAACTGGGTCGGCTTTTTGTTAAACAACGCAAAAGTTGTTTCTTTTCTTTCCTTGGCTATTTTCTACTTTCGCGTTCATTGCGTTCTTTTTCTTTTTAGTTTGCTAAGCGGGAAGGCAGTCTCTTCGATTCGGCGAAGACAAGATACAAATGTTCATTAGGGTTAAGATTGATTGGGTCAAGTTCTATTGGATTAGAAAAACGTTCATGCGGTGGACCTATAGCTAAGAATGACCAGCTTCAATATAAAAAGACAATCACAGGAAGCCGAGGCGGGACTCAGCCCAAATCTATAGATGAAGATACGTAAAAGGACAGGAAAGTGATAGGAGACAACTCCTTCAGGGGTATAGCACAAGCTCTTTAAATCTTGGACAGTGGCGGCTTGTCTTGCTTTAACCGTACAACGCCCTATGATCGAGTTAGCACTAAGCCGCAGAACAGAGAAACAAATACATACCTCTTGCGTGCAAGTAGCAATAAGCACCCCATCCTTGGACCAAATCTTCTGAATTGCCAAGCCTCGTCCTTCGCCAGCCCACGGACTCTCAATCTCCGACAACATCCACTCGTCGGCACGGAATGCCTGGGGATTGTGGAAGTAAATTGAGTGGTCCAGGCTGACCATCATTCCAACCTCTTTATGGTCTACATCCTTTGGGCCCGTGACCCTGTTCAACGCCCCTTCGAGACGGCGACGCAATTCTGCAGCCTCCTCTTCCTTCAACTCCTTTAGAGCTTTCGTGATATCCTCGTCGTCGAGATCGGATGGGTTCTTAAGTGCGTTCAGGAGTTTCTCGAGTTCGGCCGGGGAGGAAAAGCGCGGGATATCGTGGACGATGGAAACGGTACCGATGAAATAGCTGTCGGTGATATAGGCAAGAGCCGACAGGTGTGCTTGGTAACCACCTTGTTCGGAGATTGCGCCGCGGGCGCGAACGTATCGTCGGACCTTCTTATCTTCTTGCTTGGGGGATGTGCCTATTTGATTCAACGACGGCTATTAGTACAACGTGCACAGCATCGAGTTTCCGACCAGGGACGTACGGTTCAAAATGCCCGCCTTCCTTGATTCAAATGGACCGCCGCCCGCATTGCTGAGGGCTTTCAAACTGCCTGGCTCGGCCTCTTCTGGCAATGGGACGTCCGGCTTTGATACGGCGTGGTGAAGCGTCTTCTCACCACCACTGCCGACCCGGCTGAAGCTCAACGTGGTGGTGAAGATCGGCCGTCCCCGTTGCCGCGCCTGCACGGTTCGGGTCACAAAGCTCCTCCCATCGCGTACCCGCTCGACATGGTATAGAATTGGGATCTCGGAATCGCCCGCAAGCACGAAGTAGCAGTGCATGCTGTGGACGGCGTAGTCGGCCGGCACCGTCCGCATGGCTGCTGAAAGGGACTGTGCGATCGCGGCACCGCCGTAGATGCCTCGAGCTCCGGGGGGATGCCATAGCGGGCGCGTATTCGTGAAGACATCCTAAAGACAAAGAGGGATTCGTTAGAAGACGACCCTTTTTCGCGATAGAAGGATTGAGGGATGTCATACTGGGCCGAGGTCGACCACTGGCGTCAGATCGAGCACGTTCTCGATAAGAGCCTTGGAATGATCCTGTGCGGGCGGGTCGAAAATGGTCACGCGTTTTGACATTGTAAATTTATTCAAGAGAGATCAGAATCAGGAGGTTAAATGCCGAGATGAATTTCAGGGATGACGGCTCCCTGGACTTTTGAATGCGGTCGGTCCGCCCTCAGCAAAAAAAGAGCCGAGGTCCAACTGGATTTATCTTCTACCGGCACGTCCACTCCGTATATTGTTCACATTGCGCACACGTTTAGGCAATAATACATTAATCAAATTTCACATTAAATTACGCGTACACTTCTTCTTCATACTTACACCCGATGTCTCCTACGCTGTAGCATACTTCAAGGAGTCAAATGACTCCAGCCCTTCTGCGCTCTCTCACCCCCAGGTAAATCGAAGCGATAAGTGTTTCGCACAAGGTCGGGCGATGGTGCGCTGGTATTCTGTTCTCCCAACAAGCGAAGCAACTGGCGCCGTTGCATCTCTTCGTCGGTGAGTAGCGGCGTGCCTTCCTCCGCTCGGTGAAGTCTATACTCTCGATATGTCAATATCCCCGCCAGGGCGTAACAGACCGAGAACGCAGTGGGTAGGCATATGTTCACGATCTGCAGAGTGTTCATCTGCAGGCTTCGCCCATGGATATGGAACAGGATATTCAGGAGCGCGAGCAGATTCATCGTCGAGTATGGGCTGTAATTGTTAGTCAATGGGCGACAGAAGAGACGCAGCTCTCACTGACACTTACATAAAGATTGAGCCGAGGAGGAACTCTATTCGATGGCGCTGGGCGAAGATAATCAGGGCTGATACGCCGTAAGATGCACCGACAAACACAAATGCAATAACAATAGATACTGTAGCATTGATTCGCAACTCATGGGAAGGGGAACCGACTACCACAGCCAGCATCATATACCTAACCACAGCAACTTTGTAGTTAGAGACCTCCAATTCCCAGGTCAAGCCCACATTTCGTGATACCTAACTCACCCGACTAGCTGTAAAGCTGCAAAGCAAGCTGCTACCAGTTTCCATAACCATGAGACGTGAGTCACATTGGTCCGGGGTAGGGTCTGCCCGGAGGTGGTCCAAATGGCCTCGTATGGAGCAGCCAGCATACTGATTATGCCAAGCCCAAATGCAAACTAACGAATGGTGGTAGTAAAGACGTAGGACCCGGGAAGATAGGCATGAACAAAACAAAATACAAACAACGACTATGAAAAAGTTGGATCTACCCTGGGAGAGACAGTGGTCGAACGAGCGAGTTCAAGAGAGGTTGGATGCAGAACTGCAGCTGAGGTCTGCAACCCCTCAGAGGCTCATCTAGGCAACCAGCCTGCAGAACTAGTTTCTAAGCTGCGATCTGGCATCATGCAGGTCGCATAAAAAATGCCCCGTAAATAATTGTTTCCTAAGATATGATTCCGCTCGACCGGGTTACCTATATACTTGAAAAGTATTGACGCTGGGTGACTATGTCCACCAGCTGGTAAGTATCATATGCCTGCACATGGAATGCCGAGAGTTGCCAAACTTTTAGGCTCAAAATTTTCAACACGCTGGTCGGTAATCCGATTCGGACAATATGAATGCTGATCCCACCAATGATTGTTATGCAGATACCCGTGGCACTATCACTACCCCGTGATTTATCATGCAAAATTCCCAAGGGCCTGTTGCTCTCGTGATTTGGTAGGTATCTTGATGATATAATAAGAAGGGAATATAGCATTTTCTCCTAGGAAACGAATAGCTGCCCAGCAGCCTGATGGCTACAACCCAAAGAACGGGTAGAAAATTGTGAAATTATATATCATACAAAGTATATACGATCACAGGATGTGAAAAACAGCGCTTCCTGTCCCTTCAGCCGTACTTAAGCCAATAATTATTCTAATAGTTATTTCCAAATACGCCCTTATCACCTAAGTGGCACTCTAGGGGAAATGAAGGAGATATAACTAGGTGAGAACCTTGGAAGTCTGGAAGCTGAGGTAAGGCATGTAAGAACCCGTGGGCGGGGGTAACAAGTTCTCACCTAGGGGTGACGGGTGCTAATCTACTTAGAGCTTATACCGTTCCTAAGCTAGACGACACAAATTTAAGCTCCGGGATTTTCTTTTACTCTATACTTGATTCTTGAAAATAGGTCTGCCGGAAAGAACCTCTAAAAGAACTTGCGGAGCGTATCGTACATGCCGTGCCATATCACGTAGACCTATTCGTTAATATTAAAAAGGGAAGGAACCCGAAGATGATATTATCTACTACCTCTAGCTGACGCCTATTACGTTAGGAAAATAGGAATGCCTGATAACTACTCCATATACTCCGGACGACGAACGTCATAATTGGTTTCTAGAAGACCAACCGCCATGATTGGGGCTAAATCCTGTCTGCAAGGTAGATAGCATCGGATGTCATCGGACTCCCGAAATGCACTAGCGTATTCGCGAAAACATGGATGTGGATTTAACTAACTTTATTAGGTTAAGCTTGTCTCCCCGGGCCAATGGCAACCATGGATCCTCCAACTCTGACTGAACTTATCAACCGAAATCTGGCCGGGGGAGATAAGAAACCTTCTAATAATCTCCGACAGTAATATGTATTACTAGAAGAACTGAACAACTAATCCCCTGGCTAGTCCCTTTTCATCGATTAAAATCAGGTACCCCAAATTGGTCATGCACGTTTTCACCAGATCTCGTTATCGCTGAAAGTACCCTGGATAGCCGAATGTAATAAACTGAGATAAGTACTAAGTTGGCAATGAATATATATATATGTTAGATTATGCCCAGGCTTTGATAAAAGTACCTTTTGCAACCTGGAAATCCCCAGTGTGGAGTATCTGGATCAATAATCATGGTCTCCCCTACTGGTTCCTACAGTCTACTGGCTCTGTTGTCAGCCCTGCTGTCACTCTCCACCACCGCCATCGCCGCAATCACTCCGAAGGGTCAAACTGTTGAGCTCAATGGAAACACCTATTATATTCCTCCGACAGTAGTAGCAACCCTAAAAGCCGATTCGCACGTGTTGGACAAGCTCAATGGATTGCAACCTCTGACGGTCATTCGGAGCGATGCATCGAAGCTAACAAGCTCAATCCTTGAATCATTAGTGAGCAGTTACGAGTCTGCTGATGATGTCTTCAATGCTGGATTCCTCAACAATATCTACATCGAGTATAACGGTACCTCCAAGAATCCCTCAGAGAATGTGTCAACCCATTCTTCATGGGGCCCTAAGATCCTGGGATATGCATCCGCATACGATACCAAGAAATCGAAGACAGTGACGTCCTCGTCGACCCTACCTGCAGGTCCATACTTTTTGGACCCGTCCAGTGGAGCGGTTTTCGAAGCGTACCTATTGTATTCCGATGTGATGGGCTCTTTCACTCAGGGATTGCTCTCAGTTGGTAACGATGAGTACGATGTTTTGCCGGCAAGCTTGCAGGGCTATGCGTCGTTGACTATTGGTGTTCCTTCGCGGCTGTACTATACCAAGACAGCTGATAAGCCTTTGGCTGGTGTATGTATTCTCCGTCCCCCGCTATTCTCATAAGAGGGGGCTCTTATGCAAGAGAGGTGCAATACTGAATATTCATTTACTCATAGGTTCGTCTCGGTGTCAAGGATATTTATGATATCAAGGGCGTCAAAACCGGCTGTGGTAACCGCGCTTACTATGAAACGTACCCAGCCGCTAACTCTACCGGCCCCGCCATCCAGTCCCTCGTTGATGCGGGTGCCATCATTGTCGGAAAGATGAAGACTAGTCAATTTGCCAACGGTGAGACCGCCACTGCCGATTGGGTTGATTACCACTCCCCTTTCAACGCCCGCGGTGACGGGTACCAAGATCCTAGCTCATCATCGTCCGGTCCTGGCTCTGGCATTGGATCTTATCACTGGTTGGATTTGGCAATTGGAAGTGATACCGGAGGCTCAATTCGCAACCCTTCGCAGGTGAATGGATGCTTCGGTAACCGACCCTCGTGGAACTTGGTCTCGTTAGATAAAGTCATGCCCATGTCTCCGCTTTTGGACACGGCTGGATTCTTGGCAAGAGATGTGCAATTGTGGCGCGCTGCTGCGCAGGTGCTGTATAAGGATGCAGGCCTGAAATCCTACACCAAGTACCCCAAGTCTATCAAGACGATCAAGTTCCCAAATAATGCCTCGACCCCAGCTGAGGGCCTTTTGATTGATTTTGTCGACAAGCTATCGTCCTTTTTGGGTGGTGCGAATGTCTCTGCATTTGATTATGATGCTCTCTGGGAGTCCACCAAGCCTTCGACTGTTGCCGCCAATACGACCCTCAACAGCATGTTGTCTCTTACTTACCCTATCCTCATTTCGAAGCAGCAGTATCCCCTCATTGCCGCGCCGCTATATTCAGACTACGCGGCTGTCAACAAAGGTCGCATGCCGTTTATCGACCCAGTGCCTCTGTCCCGTTGGGATTGGGGACTTGGATACCCGGAATCGCAACTCGAGACTGAAGTCGCACACAAGAATATCTTTGCCAACTGGTGGAACACAACTGCCCAGGTATTCGACGAGGAGACATGCTCAGACAGTTTGATTATTTACATTGGAACTGAAGCGACACCGGTCTACCGCAATGTTTATCGGGAGTATGTGCTTGTCCTTTCCCACGTTTTACGATATTTGAGACATTGTTTGCTAACCCGTCGGAATTATATAGCATGCCAGGTGTCCCGACAGGATTTTCTACGCCTCGTATTGCCAACTTTGCCGGTGTGCCCGATATGGTCGTTCCAAGTACGCTCAACCCCTATTACTTGAAATGGCCTTCCAAGGGGTCTAATTTGGGACTATAACTAATGGCAATCATAATTTAGTCGGCCAAGCGCTCTACAACTCCACCATTACCCTGCAGCGGGAATATCTGCCTGTCGCGGTGGATTTCATCGCGCCTCATGGCTGTGATCTAATGGTGTTCAACCTGATCAATGAGTTGGTGGAAGCTGGTATCGTGAAGCAGCCTGACACCGGATCTACTTTGTATGGAGACGAGGTGACTTACTATTGAGTAAGGAAATCAGTAGGTAGCTGCTCATCTGGGGTGTTATTGTACAGTAATTAATGTATATATTCAGTCTTATAAATATTATATCTTGCTAGAAGAGTTAGATTTAGCAAAGCAAGGTCAAGGATCTAGTCTAGGCTATCAGGGCGATGAAGTTGTAGGTCGGGTCGGCTACCGAGAGGAAATATCGTAATTGAACCACCCGAAGACTTCCTATAATATGATTCGCTAAATGCAATGTTTAAAGCATATTGTGATGCTCAATAAATGATCTGGAGAATTAAGTCATTTCTGTATACTCTATACGGTCCACCCCAGACTACAGCGCGGCCTCCGCGGGTCCCGTCTTCACCATTGTACGCGCAGACTTCGAATAATCGGTTCCGCGGACAGCGTCCAACTGCGTGAATATTCCGGACCCCTAGACATAAATGTGCTGGCTGGATGTTGCTAAAATCACCATTTCATCCCTCTTTCCCTCATCTTACAGGTATCTCGTTTTGGTCTGCGAAACCACCGCCCTCTATGCCTACCTTAGCGCTTCCAGGAGGCACATCGCCCAGCCTCGGCCGTGCGATCGTCGCTGCTGTCATAGCCAAAAAACCTGCTTCTCCATGGAATGTTGTTATTCTTTCGCGCTCTTCTCGCATTCCCACCTGGTTGCAGGCAATCGACCCACAATCCACACATACCACGATTCGGACTGTCGACTACCTTTCTGTGGAATCACTAGCGGCTGCCCTGCACGATGTGCACGCAGTTATATCTGTTACCTCCGCTATTGACGGTACTCAAGCAGAGATTCAGATCAACCTACTCCACGCTGCACTTCGGGCGGGATGTAAGCGCTTCGCTCCTTCCCAATGGGGATTTGGCCCCAAAGGTTGGGAGAATGTTCCTACCCTTCGGTGGGGGAGTCAAGGTATCTGGAATGAATGCACTAAGCACAAGTGCGAGATAGAGTGCGCCAATTTCAACCATGGGTCCTTTATGAACTATCTTGGCCATGGGATATATCCTTCTCCTCCTAAGTCAGAGTCCGACGAAGCGACAACCCTGATACAACTAAGAAAAGGAGAGGGATATATGCCTGGGGTGGACGAGGCGTGCCAGGGGCTCCAGAGACAAGGCCCCTTAGCTGATCGACCGGGAGCTTTTCTTATTGGACTCAAAAATGGCATTGCAGAGCTTCCCATCAAAGACGATGGCCAGTGGCCGCGCATTACCATGACGTCTTTGAGGGATGTGGGCCGATGGGTCACTGCGTCTCTCGACCTACCCGAATGGGAAGAAAGCATGAGTATGGCCGGAGATACCCTGACGATGGGAGAACTGTTAGCGCATGCGGAAGCTATCACCAAGAAGAAGTTCAAAGTGATTGTCGTCAAGCAAGAGGATATCGAGAAGCGGCTAGCAGGCCTGGCGCAAGATGACTTTATGGGGCAGATGTGGGCAGAGTTTAATCTTGCCTATATCCGAGATATAGAGGATGAGGTTGTTCTGCGTCCTGTCTTGAATGACATGTGTCCCGAAGTCAAACCTATGGGGGTGCGAGAATACATGGAAAAGTTTTGGAATATAGAATAAACTGAATAAGTCAATCTTGCGATGGAGGGTTTAGCGATGAGGCAGATACTTTATGGAATGAACTGTTGGGAAATGTCATTCGACGACTAAATCGTTGACCTACAGCATCTTCTCCTGTCTATCTATGTTCTCTCACTTAGTTTTCTGTCGGCAAAAATGATTCCTGCCACGCGGCGCAGAAAAGCAGCTTATTCTGCTATGCTCAAAGGCATCCTCCGCTAGGTGTCGGACGTTGGAAGTCAGAATTTAGAATCGCCCAATGGTGATCACCGAAACTCCGCAAATCCGCAAGTCCGCAAAGCCGCAGATGCTGGTGGACTTTGGGAACGGAAACGTGCACAAGGGAAATGTTTAGAATTTGGGAAGCCAATGGCATAAATTACGGCCTATGCCTCTACTTGCAACTTCAACGGCACCTTTCAACCCTCCGCTTCAGAAACAATCATTTCCGTAAGTGTGAAACATAAGTATAACATGGCGATCGATTGTTGACAACATATAGCAACCAAAAATGTCCCCCCAACAGCAGTCTCTCAGTGAGTGGGTGACACAGCTCAACGATACTTTGTTCATCCAACCAGACGACGAAATAGCCCTCAAAGCGGTCGATGGACAGGTTGACCCAAGCTTAGTAGTCAGGTACGCTGCTCTAAATCCTATACTTCTTGAGACACATCTGACTCAGCCACATCGCCAGGATCAACCACAACGTCTACAGTTATGACCAATTCAAACAAGGCCTCCAATATGCCCGTCTTTCTAGTACATCGATTCAAGACGAGTTTTCTGTTATACTCCAATGGGAGAACTCGGAGAAGCCAGACGGCGTGGTGGCGGTTCTTAGTAAATGGACGTCCAAGGACAAGACATCGGGCAAGGAAACCAATAAGACCAATGTCATTCTGTGGGAGGTCAAGTTGATCGATGGCCAGAGGAAGCTTACGGGACAGTCTGAGGTGGAGTCTCTGTGAGAACATGTTACAGTAGCTTCCTCGCTCGTGTCAATATAAGCTGCCATTGGCACGACTTTTTCTCAGATTATCTGTGCCAATATTGGCCCAATGAGCTACAAATAAGTGGTTTTCATCTTGTACTTATACGTTTATCAAACCGTGGAGATATGCATCCTTTAGGAAGTCGAAACATCCACTGAAGTGATGGAGGACATGTGTATCTTCCCTTATAGCGACGAGTAGACACTTTATTTAACTGTCGCCATTGTTAGTACGTATGACTGAGGTGTCTTCCATGAGGGGCTAACCATAGGGAGGGAAGGGGCTACATGCGGCTGGAGGCACCTCTCGTCCCTGACGGCCAGTCTGTAAAATAGAGGCTGTTCCTTTTGTGTGGTTCGCATCTTTGATGCGGACAATAGCCTTTCCCTTCACTGTTACATAATAGCATTGTTACATGATAGCCATACTGACGAACACCACAGTCTGATTCGCCGCAATAAGTACATCTTGAATACATATAGACTTCATACCGAACCCTACTCCGGTCCCTCTAAACCGTATCTAATATTTTGACTATGCCCCAACCATTCCCCGGCGGCCTCTATCCCCTTTAACATGACCATTATCAGTACACCGAGCTCCTCTAAATCACCTGGCTTCGCCTTTGCTATTGCCTCGTCCCAATGCGTCACCCGCACTTCGAGCCTCTCCCTCTCGCTATATGCTCTCCGCCAACTAATTTCTGACTGCGAATTCCAAAGCGCCGCTTGGGCTGTGAAGCTCATTCGCATGTCTGGAACCGTGTCGTAGCCAAGTTTCAAGAAATTGTATACTCCTTTCAACATAGACGCTGTTATTAACGTCCGTCGGCTGCTCTCCTCAATCAACCAGCGCCGCCAGTCCGTAAAAGTGCTTTCCGGCAGAAGCTGCGCTTCCGCTGGAGTCGGCGGATGCTGCATTTGACACGTACGTAACGAAAGCTGTGCAGCCCACATTAGGAGAACTGGCTCGTCCGCTTCCGCTTGCGCCCTAAGGCGAATGTCACCGTCGAACAGACTTATTATCTGGTACAGTATCAGCGCTTGCAGCGCTTCGAGTAGATCCATCTTGGGGGCATGGAGCGGATCTATGCTGGCGATGAGCTGTTTCCGTTTGTGCTCCAAGTTGTGGAAGACTAGGGTCTGATTCTCTGTATTTTTTAAGCAATATAGGGCACAAGCACTGAGCGCATCCTGTAAAGCTAAACGGCTTCTGTCTTGGAACAAGTGACGGTGGATAAACATTGTTTGCCCTTGGTGGGAAAATATCTTCGGAATCCCAGCTAATTTCTTTACTGCAAACTCCACACGAGGCTGTGCAGTTGTATCCGAGGTAAGGTGCTCGATATAATTTGGGGTTTGCTGAGCTATGGTGTCTTCGAAGACAGCAGAGCTGAGGAAAGCGTCTTGCGGTATGCTTTCCAGGTTGAATGGATCATTAGCAAAGTTGAAGAATGGATCATTTGTGTAGGGCGAGAGTATTGCTGCTGCCGGTAGCGCGGGACTTCGCTGCAGTTGGCAATCATTGGACAGTTCTTCTGTGAAGGCAAAATTCTCGCCAACATTTCTTCCAGTAGGTTGCCGCCGTCGACCGAGATATCGGGGGTTGTATTCGCAATCAATGTTCTTTGCAAGGCAGCGTTGGCATTTAGGCAATCCTTTGTCGCATTTTCGCTTGGACTGAACGCATGCAAGACAAGACTTGCGGTAAGATGGGGGCATTGTAGCATATCCGTTTCATCAATGTTGTGAGTGCTAGGAGTTACCACCGTCGTCTGCGGGATTGATGAATAAACCCGCGTGGCTCCGCCGACCCACACCGCTTGCCACTCACAACCTTGGAAGTGGCAAGCGATGTGGGGCAATAAGCTAAGGTTGCGGAGTTTCGTGCGGAGCTTCATCCGCTAGCGGACTTTGGCAAAGTAGAAACAAACACAGCGGGAGATCTGGTATCCGCAAGCCCTGTTGGTCACCATGAATTTGATCGGACACCTGACAGATTTCCTATCAACCTTTGTCTACATCCGCATATCCACTTTCAAATGCGCAGTTCGAATTGGAGGTATTATTGTTCCGTGCTCGATGCGTCGGGGTAAAGAGAGAGCCGATATCTATAAAGGCCATCCCAGCTTTTCATCGTTATCATCTTGCCCGGCACTGAAGTTACATCTCCAAGTCCTCTACCTTCTGAATCTTCTGCTTCCACCAAAATTACTTCCCACCACCTCGCATCTTCTCTATCTAGCATCGAATTGAACATGCCTACCACGATCCTGATCACGGGCGGAAACCGCGGTATGCTCCTTTGCCCCATCTTTCTGATGCCCTTCTCATCATTTCCACAGGACTTGGCAAAGGGCTTGTAGCTACTTACCTATCTACCCCAAACACCACAGTGATAGCGACGGTCCGCGACCCATCCAAGTCCGAGTCTCTGTCTACTCTTCCAAAGGCCTCGGGATCCAGCCTATTTGTTGTCAAGCTTGAGATAGCGTCTGCGGACTCCATAGCCGCCGCTATGGACACGTTAAGTCGCACAACCTTGGTGCTCTCGATATTGTCATTGCAAGTGCTGGCATCTCTGGGCCGACCCACAGTCTAGCTGAAGCACCTGTCTCTGAGCTTCAAAAGTACATTGACGTGAATGCGTACGGCCCGTTCGAGCTATTCAAAGCTGTGCACCCTCTTCTACCATCTTCCAGTGCGGAGAAGAAGGCGAAATTTGTCTACATCTCGAGCGCCGGCGGAAGTTTGTCGGCCATGTACAACTTCAGTATGTGATGCCCCTGTACCAAGTGGGTACAGGTCTTGTCCGCTTAACTGCTTCTGAGGTAGAATGCTGACTTGCACCTCCACATTAAGTGCCTATTCCCGCGTATGGGGCGAGCAAGGCTCTAGCTAATTTCCTTTTCAAATGGCTGGCACTGGACAATAAGGATATGATTATTTGGGCACAAAATCCCGGGTACGTATTTGACATCTTCAAACATCACCTCTTGAGTATGAATGGTAGCTAACTACATTCCGCGGATAGAAACGTGGACACTGATATGGCTCGGGATGGTCTTGATCTCGCAAAGAGCTTAGGGTTCGATCTGTCTTCACTGTCCTTCACCTCTCCCGAAGAAACTGCGCGGGCGATAAAGAAAGTGGTATGTGTGCTCGAGTTCAGACGGAGATGCGAATGTGATCGAAGCGACTGACTGGGAATTTGACAGATTGACGGTGCGACTGCGGAGATGAGTGGGAAGTTCCTCGACCATGATGGCTCTGAGTTGGCATGGTAGAAGGTGAACGGATAAGTTGGCCCTGAGCCTACACCTATCACCATCTACACCGACAGCGACAATATAGTTGCTCTTCTCAAATATAGAGTGCCCCACTCGTCTGCAACTTAGTTTCAACAGCTACCCAGCAATCTCATCTCACATTGCACCATGCCCCTCGACGTCTCCGTAGACCTCTTTCCATATAGAGATTACAACAAAGCTAAATGTTGGACAAAAGCGTCACTCGTAGGGGATACAAGTCAGCGTTTACTGTGCGAGAGATAAGCGATTCAAGAAAGCCCCTTGAAGTTTAGAAATAGTTAATTATCATAATTTACGGGGACATTGTAAAATTCCATCCTTCAATATCAGTGCCGTTCAACGGCTGCTCCCCAGCTCCATTTATCAGCACATCAAAGAAGGCAGTGTCAAGGCCTTGGAAAAGCCATTCTTCCGTGCCAGCAGCAGCAGCGGGGAATGTCTCTTCTGGCAGTGCGAAAATATCTCCAGACCTGGCTTGGGAAACCGGTCTTCCATGCTTCCGTGCTGATGATGGCCTCACCACATCCGCGGTTGCTCCTGCGGCTACAGCATCGGGGGTGACGGGATCAGTATGGCCGGAGTCGTGCGGTGTTCGGACGTGGATTGATCCAAAGCCACCAATTGTCACACCCTCATTGGGAACTTGCTCCTGCTCCTTGTCAAAGAGCGTAATAGAAATACCGTCTCGCGCAATTTTGATAGCACCAGCGTATGGCACCTTGACTACCAACACGTTTTGGTCGTCTTCTTGACCGTCATCCGAGTGGCTCTCTGCAGGCCCTGCCTCAATATCCAACAGATTCTTGAGAACCACAGCACATTTCGCTGTGAGGACATCCTCATGCTGCTCTGACATAGATTCCATGCACTCAAGAGCCCGCTCCACCGTCGCACGGTCTCCAACCCGCTGGTGTACGAGTAGGTTTTCCGTACCCTTGTTACAGTGGCTCAAGATGTGGGCCAGCATTAGTGTCATGCCTGCAATCAGAGCCACAAAGTCGCCCATACGACAACCGGCTGTGACTGGGTTGAACGTACGGATCGCAGTCTGTCGGATCAGAATCTCACGACTGGCGCTTGCGCAGGCGATTCTCGAGTACACCCTCTGCGAGAAATGTCTCGGGTTTAGCATATATGGCAGATGGAGCTGATTCACTAAAGAGTAATAAAATATATGGTCCCAAGCTCGTCGAGTTTCCCAGAAGGCATCCGGCGAGTCTACTTCGAGACCCGCAAGTTGTAATGGCCGCCAGAACGCAGGCGGCCATTGCTCAGTGACCCCCAAGAGCTCTTGATCGATCTCTTGAGTCAGGTCAAGTGCTTCCTGGGGTGCGTGCATCTGATTCCGTTCGATGATCTTGCGTACCACATCCGGAATGAGTACAGGCAAGTTGCCGCTCTCAACACAAGCGCTCGTTGCTCTGGGGATTGTGAAACTCGCACCACTGGTGCTTGTGGGCAGACCTAGTAGCAAGCACAGAAACTGCTCCGTGGAAACCACACAGGCCCACATGAGCGCAGGATCAAGATCGTTATGCTGGTAGACAGTTTTGAAGCGATACTGCCCTGGTCGATGCAAGCCTAATAGCTGTGCTGTCATGACAGCACGTCGCATTGTGATCCAGGCTCGTCGGATGTTGCCGTCGTCTATGTGATAGAAGCCTTCCAGGATGAGGTTCTCGAGACCTTCCAACGTGCCCAGTAAGACGTCATTCGTATTCACTAGCTTGACGGCTGAGTCTGCTAGCTGCTCCATGATGGTGCGATGATGCTTGGTGAGGCCAGGTATCCCTTTTGTGGGAGACAGGTGTTGTAACCCTACTGCGAAAAGCAGCATATGCCTTGCCAACGAGACTGGGTGGATTTCTGAATATAGGAGATTCGCTACCGGTATTTGTTCTTTGGCCATTTCGCTCGGCCACGAGCTGCATAGCTTGAAGCTGGATTTGTAGCAAAAGATGGACATGCTGCTGAGGCTTTCAAGCAGAATTTCAATGTCTTTCCGAGGAGGGAGGGAACTTCGTAAGGCTTGAGTGATGCTGGGATATGCGGAAGCCTCTAAACTGGAGCCATGACTGGACGCTGGCGCTGGTGGCAACTGTGGTGTCGCTAGTTGGCTTGGTAAATTCTCAGTCTGTAGGCCACTCGACACATTATTTTGCTTTACCATATGGTCAGTAAATAGCTTTGTATGCGAAGGTACTGACTAACTTTGCCGTGTACTGACGAGGCCGGTGTTGTATGCACGGTAAAGGGAGTCGGTGGTAAACAGCCAACAGTAGCATGTGGATGAGAACGGGCACCAACCTTACCCACTACCCGCGTATTAACAGCAGCGTCTTGCCCAGCATCTCCCGTATCGCTCCCAGCCATTTCCGGTGCGTCCAACATTACTTGACTAACGCATTTCGTACTTCGACGGTGGCAATTGATGCAGATCGTATCATCTACCGATGAAAAGGTACACTTGACTTTTCTCCGCCTGCACTCCCAGCAGCTTTGTGTACCTTTGCGAACCTTCCTCCGCTTCGCTGCCGGTTCGTCCGAGGGAACATTCATCATTCGATGGGTAGGCTGTCGCAAGCTTCGACCGCGGCAAGAGATACTAGCCTCTGACCAATTGCAGAATGTACAGATACCCTATCATGAAATTTTGGCCGAAATAATTAGTACTGGATATGTCCGAGACGTTTTTCGTTGTGGTTGTAGATGACAAGGTCTCGGTCGCACGACCTCGGGACATCCATGGATGCCCCCGGGCCGGCCCGTTCCTGCTGGCTAATGGGCACTCGTCCGAACGGCCCTGCTCTCGGAATCGCTACACAATGGAGATCTGTATGGAGAAATAATGTGTGCGGAGATTGCTATGGGATGGATGGATAGAGACACGGGGGAGGAGAGGGAGATCTGCTGCTATCTAACAAACAGGTGCTGTCACTTTGAAGGCCTGATCCCTCAGGCCATGAAACACCCTCGGACGATTCAGCCGAGATGTGAACACGCTCAACGGAACGTCTGACTCAAACAAATTTACTCTTCTGTTGTTGGTATCTTGAAGATATGGTTCCCATTCAAGTGTCTGGTTTATTGCCATTGAGACTAATACAATACATGAACAGTACTGATCAGATAAGTCTCCTTAGGAGCATTATAAAAGATTGAACTGGGGCAGAGCTTGATTCGGCCGAAGCAGCGACACCTTTCTTTGTTTACCTCGGAGATGTGATGTGTATAGTTGGGTCTGTCCGTTGCGAGAGCAGTTCGTCCGAAGCCGATATATACAAATACATATGCTATTTATTTCGTGCTGTGGTTGATCCTATCATATCACCGTTTTGCAGACTTGGTTAACAATGGACAGGCAAACCACCGACTCAGAGAAGCAGAGAGCGGCCGAAGACCCTCCGCGGCGTTCGTGTACCCCCATGTCAAGTTCAGAACGAGGAGGCATGGATGTAGCCAACCAAGACGCAAAAGCTCGTGTCGCTGACGAATATCCCCATGGTGCCCGCCTGGCTGCTGTTGTATTTTCACTCATGCTGGGAATGTTTTTGGTGGCACTTGATAACGTCAGTCCCCCTTTTCGCGGTGCAACACAGAGCTGACCCAAGGCTACTACTAGACCATCCTCGGCACGGCTATTCCCAAAATAACAGACGAATTCCATGACCTGAACAAAGTGTCGTGGTACGGGTCAGCCTATTTGATGACGTTTGGCTGTGGTTAGTTATATATGGACACATTCGTTTCTGGATGGCATGTTGACATTTCCCGCAGAGTGGCTCCTTTCTTCCTATCTACGAATGCTTGGATACTTAGTCCTAGAGCCCTTGTTACGGAATGACTAATTGTCACAGGCTTCCAATCAACATGGGGAAAGTTTTACAAGTACTTCCCGATCAAGCTTTGGTTTCTCGTTGCCGTATTCATTTTTGAAGTGGGCAGCCTCATTTGCGCCGTGGCTCATGACCCAACAACTCTCATAGTCGGCCGGGCTATCGCTGGGTTTGGCGGATCCGGAGTTGGCGTGGGAATTTTTACAATTATCGGGTTCGCTGCACCTCCTGAGAATCGTCCGCAACTTTTGGGCTTTACCGGAGCAACCTATGGCGTCGCCGCGGTCTTGGGACCACTAATCGGGGGCGCTTTCACTGACAAAGTGTCATGGCGATGGGTAAGATGAGGACTATTGAAATCCTAGGGCTATTACTGATGACCGAACAGTGCTTCTACATAAATCTGCCCATCGGGGGAGTAGCTGCCGGAACGATCTTCTTGCTGTTCAAGCCCCCAAGTAGCGCAGCCCCGGCAAAGGCTACACCCAAAGAGAAGTTCTTGCAAATGGACCTCGTCGGTGCAACCCTTATGATGGGATTGATTGTTTCATATATCCTGGCGCTGCAGTATGGCGGCCAGACACATTCCTGGAAGAGCAGCGAGGTTATTGGACTGCTGGTCGGCTTCTTTTCGTTCGTTCTGGCCTTTGTGGCCTGGGAAATCTACCAGAAGGAACGCGCAATGATTGTTCCACGGCTGGTAAGCTACAATGCAAGCCCCATCTGATCTGACATGAACTAATAGCAAAATGGCCGTAGTTTATGAAACGCTACATTTCGGTGGGCACCATGTACATGTTCTTCTTTAGTGGGGCTTACTTCATTGTCCTTTACTACCTTCCGATCTATTTCCAGAGCGTTTACAACAGCAGTCCAATCGGATCTGGTGTCAAAATGCTCGCACTCATCATCCCGTTAACCCTCGCTGCCATCGTACAGGGCTACGCGCTATCCAAAATCCGCGTCGTACCTCTGTTCTGGATCATAGGTGGCGCTTTGGGAACCATCGGCTGTGGCCTATTCTATACCTTTGATACCGAAACGTCTGTTGGCAAGTGGATTGGGTATCAGATTATTGTTGGCCTCAGCACGGGTTGGACATTCCAGATTGCAATGTCAAACGCGCAAGTCCATGCTTCACCAGAGGACATGTCACAGGCCACAGCTATCGTCAATTGTGAGTGCTTGATTTACTATAGCTTACAAGAGCTGTCTGCTAACAATGGTGCCAGTCTCCACGACCGTGGGCGGAGCTTTCTTTCTCTCAGCAGCACAATGCGCCTTCAGCAATCAGCTGATTAAAACCATTACCACAAAACTCCACGAGATCGACCCGGCGGTGGCTATTTCGACCGGTGCAACTCAAATTCGCGAAGCATTCACGGCCTCGCAAGTTCCCGTCATTGTCGATGCCTACATGATTGGTTTAAAAGCTGTCTTTGCGATTACAATTGCCGCCTTTGGTGTCTCCACTGTCATTGGCTTCTTTGGCAGCTGGGAGAAGCTGCACACTGATGAGCTGAAGAAAGCGACTGGTGGCGCTGCATGACCGCCTCCAGATCGTTGGCGTGTCTGACTAAGAGCCAGTATCTCGGTTGTGTGTTTAGAAAGATGGGCGACTACCGGGAAGGAGGGAGGGAGCGGCATTCTGCGACTTGAGTTGTAGGGTATATAGGTCTAGAGTTGCCTGGCGCTCGGTGTACCGACTTTCGAGCTCGTTGGTGTATTAGACGTATTAGATAGAGCTTCTAATAATGCGCTGGGGCATAGCTTCTTGTCTATCGGGGCAGTCTCCTTACTCCGGGAGGGCCAATAAATTCCGATTCTTACCAATTTTGCTGATATCTGTTATCCTGCCAGTGCCCGAAGGTCGACACATCTCGAGTTGCTGGTGTACAAAGGATGGTTTCCAGCCCAGTAGCCTTATTGACCATGTAATTGATCAAACTCTTTAACTAAACATCGAATAAGGCGTATATCCCGTAGTCTATACCTTTTATGGTAAATTGACCCTATCGTCAACTGGTTATTGTCCTTCCCAATTGGGCTGAATAAGCCGGGCTTATTCTAATGACTGACCAGAATGGTTTTTGGGCGGTCGATGACTGCCAGCATAAGGGAAGATCGAGGCGAACAGGATTGATCATTCCCCCATTTCTTCAATTGGAATCTTTACGGAAAATCATGAAAGTAAGCACGGATAATCTTTGAGGTGTGCCACTAGTCATTTGGGAGTTGCAACTCTAAGGGCCAGAACTTCGAACCGGCAATTCGCCAACTCTTACAATCTAAAATTTAATGCGGTTGAGATGGAAATCCTCCATAACTTGTCCTCTTGAGGTAGAATGCATATACGGCCTGGACTACGGTATATGGTACACGGTGTATGCCGTGGTATGTGTATGGAGATGGTGTATGGCCAGACTATATGAGCTCTCCATCCAAATACCCAGTTTAGGTATTCGTGAATCAATCCTAGATGTTACTACATACCTACCTTAGTATCATAGACTAGCATCAACTGTGAGGAATCGTATATTCGAGAATACCATGGAGCTCTCTGTTCGTGTATTACAAATCACTAATGTAGACCTAGATAGCTTCTCGGATTCTGAGAAGCTCTAATCTACGTTTTGAAATCTCCTGCGTGGTCACGACAAAGTCCTAGACTCCCATACTTGAGTCGAGCCTTCAGGCCGTCTATATTTCTGTTCTCAAAATGCTCGAGCTCGCCCATTGGAAGAATCGAATGCATGGCGCGCATGCGCTGAAGGGCTGCCGTCTCCTCTGGCGAAAGTTTCTCGAGCAGTTGCTCTTGCTCGGGTATGCTTTTTGTCTCCACAATATTGGTCAACTTCCTTTGTAGCTCAATGTCACCCATGTCGCTGAGCGCATTAACACAGAAATTGATGGTTTCGGTGATTGACTCGCCCGCAACCTTTGGTGCCGTCTCCTTGTCCGCGGCTCCTTGGATAACTGTCCGAATTTGTAATTTTTAGCATCATAATACACCATCCGTATGGATGGAGAGAGCAATGAAAGTCAATAGAAGGGACAGGGTGATCTCACCTGGCCTGAGGATCGCGAATGCTCGATCAAAGCCTTCCTCGTCAAGGTCAGACAGGATCGGCTGTTCTTGCATACGGATTTGCTTGAGAGCCGCCATTACAACAAGAAGGAATAACGTATAACCCTCGTCAACCTTTTTCGCGTACCACCTGGAGGCATCCAATTCGCTGCAGTCTCCCCGGATGGTCGCATTGATCGACGTCGCCGCTGCTAGGGCACTCGATAGGGCCAGATGATGACCAGATGAGAAGAAGGGATCAATGAAACATCCTGCATCACCGACAATACGGAAGTTTGGACCAGCATACGCGCTGGCATTGTAGGAATAATCTGCGGCTTGTCTGATACCGGAAGCCAGTTCAGCCGGTTCCAAATACGAAGATATAATCGGGCAGAGTGCAACTAAGCTCGCCAGGGTTTGAGCCTCCGCTGTCCCTTCTGGCAAGGCCTTCTTCTTGGCTTGGAAAATGTCTTTTCTAACAACGACTCCAATTGATACTGTGCCGTTGTGTAAAGGCAGCATCCACACCCAGCCTGACCCATCTACATATGGTCATACACGATTAAACCAGCAAGGTATATTCGAATATACTTGACGGACTCACCTCTCATGCCTTCGAACATCGGCTGGTTTTCGCGATCTGTTCCTGGACTTGGTGGAATATTACCCTTGAAGTACCCCCACATGGCAATGTTTCTGAGGCCTTCGTTGAACTTTCGATTCTTGAGATACTTGGTCGACAGAACACCAACTCGACCCGTCGCATCCACCAAGTAATCGAACGAGATGGTACCAGAGCAACCATCTTTTGTCTTCCAATCGGCCGAAACAGGTCGTCCAGGGTTGGCCAATTTGTCTTGGCTGGTGAACTTATCGTCCTCGTAAGGCTCGAAATTCACCGACTCCAACGAGGCATTCTCGAAGATCTTCGCGCCACTCTTTGTGGCATGGCGAAGAAGAATCTCGTCCGATTCAGATCTTACCACATTCCAAGAATATCCATTAGGACCGTAGGCCCGAATGAAGTCCGTGTCTGTGATGGCATTATATCAGAACGTAGCTCCACACATTAGGCCAATTCGCTCTACTAACATCCCGCACTCTTTGCGTTGAGCTTGAAGGATGCACCGAGCTGTGTCCACAGGTCAGCTTATCTGAACTTGCACGAAAGATATAAATACCCCCTTCGTTCGCTTGATGCCATCTTACTTTCTTCTGGAATCCATGCTGCTCGAAAGTGTCTTCCAGGTCGACAAAACGTAGGAAATATCTCATCGAAGGGAGCAGACTCTCTCCGATGTGGTATCTGCACAAGTTAGTTGCTCAAGCACGCAATATGTGAGGCCTGGCAGACAGATACAAACCGGGGGTGACTATCTGCCTCGAGCAAGACAACATCAACACCTTCACGTGCGAGAGCAGCCGCGGTATAGGAGCCTCCAGGACCACCACCTGCTACGAGAACGGTGCAAGATTGAGGAAACACCATCTTCTTCAAGATACAATAATATGAACACTGGATATTCTATTTAATCGCAGTCGGGTGATTTGGAAGCTATAAGAGCCAACTAGAGGACTGTTGTACTTTGTTTATTGGACCCTAATGTGGTAATTGATTCAGTCAGCATTACGGGCTTTGGTGCTTACTAGGGATTACCGGTGCTTAATTTAAACTACTTTCGGTGTATCACCCGTGGACCGTTTGGACAGCATTTTTTGCTGACTGTGTACATATGTGACCTTGGAAGTTAGTTACTATCCATGGTATCCAAATTGAGGAAAAGCTTCCAAGGTTATATGAATTTGTCTGCCATTAGTCACAATGTGCCACTAGTCATTTGGGGGTGTGCAAATAGTAACTCTCTAGGACGCCCAGGTAAGCAAAGTAAGCAATTCGGATGGGGCAGTCTAGTACATGCTGACATGTAATTGGAGTAATCGACATATATAGACATTGAACATCATTCAAATACTCGCAGTAATAAAAGACCTATGTTTTATAAAGTCTGGGATCACATATTATAACTTCTCAACAAGCAAAGCCAATATTGTCATAATGGATTCCGCCAAAGTCTTGTATTTTTCAGGAGAAATTCCTCAGGGAGACCCAGAGGGCGACCAAAGAACCCTATTCAGAAAGCTAAATCTACTCAGCAAAGAGCGAGATCATGTGGTTCTCGCATCATTGCTAGAGTGCGTGACACTGGCATTGAAGGACGAGTGCAGCAAACTAAGTCGTCACCATCGAGACTTGCTCCCACCTTTCGAAAGCGTCCTCGATTTGACAGATCACGTTGTTCAATTAAGAAAGACGCCGCTTGGTGGCGCCATCGAGCGAGTTTTGGTTTTAGTCTTTCAATTGGGAAGCTTTGTTGCGTATGTTACACCCAGCCATTCAATGGAGTTAGAAGCTCACCAATATTTTCGGCAAGATATCACGAGGCTCATCCACTGGAGTACAATTTCACATCGGCCAGCGCCTCACTCATCGGACGGGGCCCGGGGCTACTCTCGGCAGCTGTAATTGGTCTCTCGCCGAGCATTGTGATGATACCCAAGATCGCCAAAGATATCGCCCGAATCTCATTTCGTTTTGGTCTGCTTGTCGATAAAGTTTGTCGATCGTTGGAGGTCTCTCAAGATGAGATCAATGCCGACGGCGCCTGGGTATATTGTGTCCACGGGGTGGGTGAGAAAGACGCGCGTGATGCGGTAAATCAATTTAACGAAGAGAAAGTGAGCGCAGAACTGGCATTGAAGTCGTTGGCAATGTACTAATGAATGCGAATAGGCATATCCTCCAACCAATGGCGCGTCTGTCTTCAATGTCGACGACGCCGGAAGCTCGGTCAGCATAGGTGGACCGCCAAAAACGCTGCAGGCGCTTTTCTCCGAGTCTAATGCATTTAAGAAGACGAAGAACGTGGCAATGAAGAAAATCCAGGGTACGTGGCATACCGACGGGGTGTATGGCGTGGAGCACGTGGGGCAAGTCGTCCAAAAGATCGAATCCAAACAGGAGCTGCACATTCCGTTAATATCGTCGGTGAGCGGAGAGCCATTTCGGGAGACAAAGGCCGGACCGCTACTCGAACGGATCATGGAAGAGACATTGACCGAGAGGATTCGGTGGGACATGGTTATTGAGACTGTCGCCAAGCAACTGAAGCAGCTGATGCCCGGATCTGCGCAACTGGTTAGCATACAGCCATCGCACTATAACCAGAAATTGCTGGAACGCTGGAAAATGGAATTGCCCGACGCAGCGGTGTCAGACCTCGCTCTGATGCCAGCTGTATTGGATCTCGTTCTCGGAAAAAGTCCGCCAAAGGACACAAGATCGTCGAAGATCGCTGTTGTAGGCATGGCGTGTCGTTTTCCGGGCGCAGACACCACCGAAGAATTCTGGGAGCGGTTGATGCAGGGGCAAGACATGCACCGACATGTTCCTCCCGATCGATTCGACGTGGAAACACATGTAGATACCACGGGGAAACGACACAACACGTCAAAGACTTCTTATGGCTGCTTCGTTGAAAACCCGGGGCTGTTCGACGCTATGTTCTTCGGCATGTCACCCAGAGAGGCTGAACAAACGGACCCAATGCAGCGCCTTGCCTTGGTGACGGCGTACGAAGCCCTGGAGAACGCAGGGTATGTCGACGGTCGAGGCATGATCCATCGCAAACGCGTTGGCACCTTTTATGGCCAAGCCAGTGACGACTACCGCGAAGTCAACTCTGGACAGGAAGTAGGCACTTATTTTATTCCCGGTGGATGCAGGGCGTTTGGTCCCGGACGTATAAACTACTTTCTCAATTTTTGGGGCCCTAGCTTTAGTGTCGACACGGCGTGCTCTTCGAGTTTGGCAGCTATCCAAGCCGGGTGCTCGTCACTGTGGAGTGGAGATGTTGACATGGCAATTACCGTAAGTTTGCCGATTCACACCAAATACCATCAGCTTCTAAGCGCTGACCTAATCGTGACTGTCACCTTAGGGAGGGATGAATATCCTCACCAACTCTGATGCCTATGCTGGGCTCAGCTACGGTCACTTCCTCTCCCCTACGGGGGGCTGTAAGACATGGGATGAGGGAGCAGACGGGTACTGTAGATCAGGTATGCCATCACTCGCCTTTTCACTCTTAGTACTTCGTATTCTTCAAGACGCTCACTGACTAGCATTGCTGAATAGATGGAGTCGGAAGCGTGGTTTTAAAGAGGCTCGAGGATGCAGAAGCCGACAACGATAACATCCTCGCGGTAGTCTTATCGGCAGCTACTTCTCATTCAGCAGAGGCTGTTTCGATCACGCATCCTCATGACGCGGCTCAAGCTCTCTTGTACGACCAGATTGTCCGACGAGCTGGAATCGACCCGCTGGAGGTAGGTTACGTGGAGATGCACGGCACAGGCACGCAAGCTGGTGATCCTACAGAGATGAGATCAGTCACCAGTGTGTTCGCGCCTGCTCGTCCTCATGGGCCCAGGCCGATACCCTTGCATGTGGGCTCGGTCAAAGCCAATATGGGCCATGGAGAGGCTGCTGCGGGAGTCATGGCTTTTGTCAAGACCATGTTAGTCTTCCAGAAAGGCATCATTCCGCCTCACATCGGGGTTAAGACAGGTTTGAATCCTGCAATACCAGACTTTATCAAGATGGGCGTTGTGATTCCATTTCAAGCTGCCAATTGGGGCCCGGCCGGTACACAGAAGAGGCTGGCGATGGTCAATAACTTTGGTGCCGCTGGAGGTAACACGGCTATGATCATTGAGGAGGCAAGCCTAAGGCCACGGCTATGCGAGGACACACGAGAAGCTCATGCAATTACGGTTTCAGCAAAGACGGCTGGATCTCTTAGTTTGAATATCAAGCGGCTTGCCGAGTATATTGAAGTTTCACAAGCCTTATCTCTTGCCGACATTGCCTACACACTCTCGGCCAGGAGGCGTCACTACGAATACCGGAAATCCATTGTAGTAGGATCGTTGGCCGATGCTGTCAAACAGCTTCAACTGCATATCGAAACTTCTATGGCTCAGACCCCGACCTTGTTGAAACCACCCCCGGTCGCTTTTGCTTTTGCTGGCCAAGGCACTTTCTACGTGGGAATTGCAGCGCAGATATACCGGGACTCTCCCTTCTTCCGCGCGCAGCTGGGTCAGTTTGACAATCTTGCACGTCGCCAAAACTTCCCATCCTTTCTCCCTGCCATCGATAGAACGAGCGCTCGCGAAGACCTACCAGCCTCCTCCATTCACCTCGCCATCGTATGTGTTGAAGTTTCACTTGCTCGACTATGCATGACGTTTGGTATTAAGCCATGCGCCGTTATTGGACACAGCCTGGGCGAATATGCTGCACTGGCCGTGGCTGGTGTGCTGTCTGACAGTGACACAGTCTTCCTCGTCGGGACACGAGCAACTATTCTGGAGTCGAACTGCTCATCTTACACCCATGGCATGGCCTCCGTTCGCGCCTCAGTGACCGATATTGCTCGCGTAGCAGATGGCTCACCATTTGAAGTAGCCTGTATCAACGGCCCCAATGAGACTGTTATTGGCGGTACTGTTGAGCACCTGGAAGGGTTTTCCGCTCGTCTGTTCAAAGCAGGGTACAGGACGACGCGCCTGGATGTGCCACATGCGTACCATACGGCCCAGATGGACAATGTTGTCAATGAACTCAGTCACCGAACCCAAGGAATTGTTTATAACACGCCCAGAGTTCCCATTATGTCTCCAAGAGACTCAACAGTCATTGAGACAGGCGCTAACATCGATTCATCGTATTTGCCCACCTCCCTAAAAAAGACAGTCAACTTCGCTGGGGCTCTAAATGCGGCGTCAGAAGCTGGCGTGGTATCGAAATCTACCGTCTGGCTTGAGTTGGGTCATCATCCCGTATGCGGCGGTTTCATCAACCGTACACTCACCGACACTCGTCTAGCATGCTCAACCCTACATCGAGACGCCGACAATTGGACATCTTTAGTGAAAATGCTGAGCAGTCTATATGAGGTTGGTCTCAACATCGACTGGAATGAATACCATCGTCCATTTGAGGGCGCACTACGACTGGTCTCCGCGCCAACCTATGCTTGGAACAACAAGAACTATTGGATCCAGTACCGTGGAGATTGGAATTTGACCAAGGGCCAGATTTTACCAGAGCCAGCACTTCCCATTGCTAGCGGGTTTCGAACATCAAGCATCCATCGACTGTACTCCGAGAATTACGACTCATGGACAGCACAAGTCTTGGCCGAATGCAATATGGCCAATCCATCACTCAAAGATGTTATAGAAGGGCATGCCATGAACGGCTACGGAGTGGCGTCGTCGGTAAGTTGATAACGAACTCCACCTTTGCTCAAGCTTTCTAACGTCTGATAGTTCCTTCATGGTGAGATGGCATTCACAATGGCCCAAAGGATCCAAGAAAAAGGCTTCTCGTCAAAATTCAGTGGAATGGGAATCAATGTGGCCGACTTCGAGTATCACGATCCGGTAGTGAGAGACGCAAACTCTCTTGATCCACATCCCATTCTTGTCAATGCTGAAGCCAACCTCGAGAAGGGCGAAGTCCACATTAAGTGGTTCAACCCAGCCATTGACAAATGGTACTGCCATGCTATAGCTTACTATGAAGAACCTTCATCCTGGCTGTCCAATTGGGCTCGAACGACCAGACTTGTTACCAGTCGCATTGACGCCCTCATTGCCATGTCAATCAAGGGCACAGCCAACAAACTCACCACCGATCTTGCATACACCCTCTTTGGTAAGCTGGTGGATTACTCTAGCATGTATCACACCATGCAATGGGTCATACTCAACGAAGACGAAGCCGCGGCCGAAGTCGTTTTGCCTGCAAACACCCAAGGAGACTGGGGTGTGCCACCACATTTTATCGATGGTGTCGTATCTCTGTCTGGCTTCATTCTGAATGGAGGTACCCACTTTGACAACACCAATAACTTCTTCATCACGCCGTCATGGAAGTCCATGCGCTTTGCCAAGCCGTTGGCACCTGGTGGTCGATATCTCGCATACGTCAGGATGGTGCCAGAGGCTGTTGGCGACAACAGCAAGCTCGTCTCGTACATTGGTGACGTCTACATTCTACAGGACGGCGAAATTGTGGGCGTCGTTGAGGCCATCTTGTTCCGGCAGTGGCCGAGAATGATGCTGAATCGGTTCTTCCGCCCAATAGGCGTGGCTCCTCCTGTTCCTCTTACCCAAAAGAAGCGAGCTGCGGCTCCAATCCCACTGCCCTCTACAAATTCTATACAGGAAAAGGTTATGGCGACAGCGGCGGGTGCGAAGGTGACCTCGAGACGTCCTGAATCTGCCATAACTCCTCCACGTTCCGGACCAGTCAGTAAGTCTGGTGGCAGTCCAAAGATGACGCCTCAGCTCGATTACAATCCTCTAACGCCAAGAGGTCCGCCACATCCCAATGGACCGGTACAAAAGACCGGCAGCGACAGCGGCTACGAAGAAGCTAATGGCATTGGTGATGTTGCCTCACGCGCTGTAGAGATATTGGCCGAAGAACTCGCTGTTGATATGGGCCTACTGACCGACGAGTGTGAACTTGCGGATATTGGGGTTGACTCACTCATGTCGCTTGTTATCTCACAGAAATTGCGAGAGGACCTTGGCATCGAGATTCGTGATGCATTTTACCTCGAAGTGACAACGATTGAGGACTTGAAGAAGTTGATCTCCTGAACAATCTTTAGGTAGTGTTAGTTATAAATGAACAATAATAGCGATCCATGAACACTCCGCACAGGACTATACTATAGTCACCAGAGCGAAAACCAGAGCGAAAAACAAATCGCATTTCAGAATTCTTAATAGTCTCAGTCCCCGCAAATTCTCCTATCCTCACCTGTCAGGCAAAACTATCTATGGCCACCTGGGCAGAACAACTTCACTTATATAAGGAGGATCTTACCACCTCTCACCACCTTTCACTACATTTGAGGTATGGCTTAGGAATTATAAATAGTAGGAATGGCTTCAAGATATACCTAAATAGTTATAGTTTTACAATCTGACGGTCTTTTTAATGTTATTGCTTTTCAAGTATTTGATTTCTCTATGCCTCTCAGGCCAGACATAAAAAGGTAGAAACTACCCAAATTGGGCGTTTTCGTACCGATTCTTATAACCTTGTATATGCACTGTCTCGTTCTATCTAGTGGCGTGTGCGAGACGTTTCTGGCCATTGGCGCGATGCATACCAGGCCTTTGGGGCTGCCATACGATTTCAATGAGGGAAAGTCGAGAATTATCAGGGTACCTAACATCCGTAACCTTGAAGCGCCGGTCTGACTGAGTAATGACTTCTTTCCATTCCTCGACGTCACGTATCTGCAAGTAGGATTCCCAGGTTAGAATGGAGAAAAACTTGCTGGCTTTTCTGGGTAAATTTACCTTGGAGTTGTGAAGGGTCAACATGCCGAAATCAACGGTTCTGAAATACTCGCGATCAGCGTTGTCAAACAGGAAAGGGTGCATCGTGTAGCTTACCGTTGATGTCGCTCGAGGCTCAAACCCAATGTGCCAGCAGGAGGCATGATGTCGTCAAATATGATGACCTTGGCACCAGCCCTCAGCGACGGGATCAAAGCTCTCAGGATGCTTTGGACATGAACGTCGGGCCAATCGTGCAGAACCAAGCGAAACATAAATCTGGGATCAACCAAGTCAACAATGAGCACAAGATTTAGTGACATGATATATGGGCGTTCACATACACGTCAGCGTCTTTGACAGGCTGCTCGTTAAAAAAGTCATGAGGCATGAACGAAACATTCTTGCCCTCGCGAACTTGGGCATGTTCAAGTACCACGGGCAAGTCCTGGACCACGATCTCGAGCCCTGGGAACTCTTCGGCTAGTGCAAAGGCCACGGCGCCCGTGGATCCGCCCAGGTCGACGAGTTTACCGGTCTGCAAATCATTCGGCCAGCTGTCGATAAGGTGTCGTTCTCCGTACCCCTCATCTTTCTGGATTGCTCCCATGACGCGTGCAAATCTTCGAGCCTGCTCTGGGCGCTTCTCGAGATACATGAACATGCTAGACTCGCCGTCTCCTTTGGCGAGCATGAAACTGCTTTTGGCGGGGTCACTGCCCGTGGGTTCTTTCTTCAAGGCTTCAGTCAGCCCAGCACCAGCGGGAAAGATGATGTCCATGTTCATGCCAAGCCAGTCTGCGATCAGTGGCTCCCGCGCTATGATCTTAGTCGTCGCCGTGTGCGCCACGTGGCCCGGCCGTGGCTCGTAGAACATGTGGTAGGGCATGCCCGCTCGCAGGACCTGACGGAGTACGGGCGCAGCAACGTTGACAGTCTTCGAGAGATCATCGTACGATATGTCGCCTGTCAGAGGGACCCGGTGGGCAATGTCAAAATTGCAGATGAATTGGTTCACGCTAAACATGGTCATGACTGCCCATCCATGTCCGAGGCGAAGCTCGAAGGGGCCCGTTGCCAGGTCGCCCAACTCCAGGCTAGCATCGATAACGGCCCGTCGACATTTTTCCACATCGGGTGGATATTTCACGTCAAGCGGTGCATCAGGGCCCAGACTGAGGGGCGGTAATCCTTGTTCCTGACGATATGCCTCAACTTCGGTAGTGTTATCAGTGATTATCTTCACCAAGTGAGCGGATCGAGTTGTATTGGAGGCCATATCATTACTGTGGTGCTTGAAGGCAGACAAGTTCTATCCAGCTCATGGTTCGGAGAAGCTCAGGGTATGATTTATATGAGAAATCTCCAATGCCCAGGTCGGAGTGATACGTTAGGTCTTGGACAGAGTTGAGTAACTCGAGCCAACTCAATTCGTGATACATTGCGATGTATATAAGCATCACATGTTTACTAGCATGTAAGCAACGCATGGTTACGACGGTGCAAGCAACTCATGGCCGGGGCATGGAAGATGATCAGCTCCGGGTCTTAGAACGCGGTTATTTCCAACAATGTGACAGAACCGGTCTTGGCTACGGAATGCAGCGTGGGCAAACCGAACTCTAGATGACTACATAGGTAGTAAATCAGGATGAGAGTTACTATTTGCACAACCCAAATGACTAGTGGCACACCTGCTAAACTACTTCGGGTATATCGGCATTGGGATAACAATTTTTGCTGACTGCACAAGTTACTACTAGCCCTGGAGGTAGGTCCACGGGTAGTATCCTCTTAGTAAATGGAATAACGCTTAACTATATGACTTTGACCATTATTAGCCATAGTATGGTGATACCTTTAGCCAGGGATACTGCCTAGGTAGTACCTAGTAACTTACGCAGTCAGCAAAAGAAAGAGCTCTCCAGATCGCGCTATATCCGAAGTAGTTTAAACATGTGTGCCACTAGTCAAAGACGACCTCTACGAATGTTTATGTGTCTTTCAGTGCTCCCACATGTACTAGCACCGCTGTAGTTCGTATATACAGGGAATTTTGCAGTGAGTTGTCTAGATAATCCATGTCACTGTTCCCGCGACGTCAGTCCTACCACACCCCAGTAAGGAGACGTTGAAAGGGTCTCGGATTTATATCGTAGATCGGAATTCCGTTAGCAGTAATAAAATATTACCAAATAGAGATAACAGCGCGATAAGAAGAACACTCTATAATGACTATGCTAAGGCTTGGCATTAGGGAGATAGATATGGAGAGATAAAATACAAGCCTGATGTCTCGGTGTCTGCATGACTTAGCAGCTGGCTCTAGGAAAGTCAAATACTAGCTAGGCTCAATTCCATGCATATTTAGCTCAGCCGTTGTGCTGACCTATGCTGACACGTAGCTTACAGTCTCGTATTTGTAAAGCCACCGCATCACGCTAACGGGTCAGTTAAATTAAACGGAACGACCCTGCAGGTTTAGAGTTTTTTACGGTCTGCCGAGCCGACGGGTGACATGAGAACAGCTTGGTTTACCAAGACTCGAAGACACCCAGAATGGGTTGATCTCTAAAACTTAGTGCTAGAACACCAGTATCAGCGCGTAGGCCCTCCATTTCGGGCTATTCATTCCCATTCGCTTTAACTAATAAGTGGACCACGAGGCCATCGTGGCGGACCCAATTTAAACGGTTATAGATGAGAAAGGAAAGCAACAAAGTCGTTGCCTTAAGTTACATCGGATTTCGTTTAGAACAAACCCCGACATCAAGCAATGGCTGCCCTTCATCTATACCATCCCACCAGGGTAAAGATACTGCACGCTAACCTCCAAGAACGGGGCAAGGGGGCAAAATTTGAAGTCTCCGATGCTCAGTCACGATCTCATAATCTCCACACAAAATCCCTGTTTAGTAGTCTAGCCGTTTCTGTACGCCAAGACATTCATGGATACCTCACCACCTACCACAGACAGCACGGGAGAACTTTGCAAACACTTTGTCATGATTATGAGACCATGAGAGGAATCAGCACCTTCAGTCCAGAAGCGCCAGCTATCCTGGACCTCGAGGTATAAAAGCAAGTTCGTCCCCAAGCTTAGAGGACTCCAGACAGCCACAGTTCCTCTTCTCATCCATCTACCAAAACATCAGCTTCAATATGTACATCTCCGCCGGAATCAAAGCAGTTCTGCTGCTAGCAGCATCCGTTCCCGCGCAAGCATGGAACAGACTAGACAAGGACAACGCAGTGAGTCAAGAAATACAATCCAGAGACAAAAGCGTAGCCCAATCTAACCACCCCAGGCCCTCCTCGTTATCGACCACCAAGTCGGCCTCGCCCAAGTCGTCCGTGACTACAACACGAACGACTTCCGCAACAACATCCTCGGCCACGCTGCCCTCGGCCACGTCTTCAACCTACCAACCGTACTGACTACCTCCTCCGACGCAGGTCCTAACGGTCTCATGCTCAAGGAAATCACTGATATGCACCCCAACGCGACCTTCGTCCGTCGTCAGGGTGAGGTCAATGCTTGGGATAATGCGGATTTCCGCGCTGCGGTTAAGGCTACTGGGAAGAAGCAGCTGATTATCGCGGGTATTGTTACCGAAGTTTGTAAGTGGAGAGGGTTATTGAAAGAAGAGGGAAAAGAAAAAGAGAAAGGAACGTAAAGCAGATACTGATATTCGAAACAGGCACCTCCTTCCTCGCTCTCTCCCTTATTGATGCTGGATACGAAGTCTTCGCCAATACAGATGCGAGCGGCACTTTCGATGTTAGACTTGCTGAGGATGCGAATCGTCGTATGGAGAAGGCTGGTGTTACTCTCATGGGTTTGTTTGGTATTGTCTGTGATCTTATGCGCGACTGGCGGAAGACGCCTGGTCTCACTGAGGTTCTGCCTTTCCTTGATAAGTAAGTTGCTGCACTTGATTCTGCTGTTGTCAAGATTTCTAACTGCATTTTCTTCGTGAGCAGGTACCAGTTTGGTTATGGTCTTGTTGCCCGTCACCACGCTGGAGCTATTCAGAATGGTACCTTTTTCCCCGTTGAGGGGACTTTGATTTGAGTCTATCGGAGATGAGATTGGTCAGGGCTTCGAGAGATGCAGAGGTGAAAAACTAGGCACGAGGGAAGGTCGAGGAAAGGAAACTGGAGAAGTGAAGAGAAATGGGGATATTTGAGAAAAAGAAAAGAAAAAAGAAAAGAAAAGGTCTTGTTGATTGGGTATATAGCTTTCTTGTGAAGATAGAGTTGAATCCAATTATCAAGACAAGAGTAGTGGTCTATTTTTGACGTAGGACTTAATAATCCAGTCTTCTTAGGCCAATATATTAAGGACGTTATTGGTTGTTCTTTACACATGTCTTCCTAGATTAACAGAGGCGACTCACAGTTCTATCGGATCTCGTTGAGATAGATCCTCTGTGGCCTTCCCTTTGTTTCTTTGTCCCTACCAAGCTATATAGAGAGCTTCACAGTAGTTTGACCTCATCCTCAGCATGTGTTTGCTTCTCCCTCTGAGACACGTGGGACTACGTGCATCGGAAGAGAAATGGGCAATTTGAAAAAAGAAAAAGATTTTTGATGACTGGGCTATATGTAGCTTTCTTGCGAAGACAACGGTGGTATTTTCTCCAACCAGTTACGGGACACTCACGACGTGTACAATGGCGTCGTCCACTGTGGTTTCCCTTTTTCGCTTAACCCAGGATACCTATGATCCCGCCGAGCGTTCTTTCAATAGTTCTGATCTCTGGCTTCTTTACACCCCTTACGAAGTTGAAATGATAAGTTTTCGATCGAATTCTTTCTCTCCAAACAGCTTGTGAGCGATTGCAGTCCTGCCGTTCTAAAGGAGGTGAAAATTCACCACTATTACGGCCAGTGACACACCTTGGTTCAATGACACCAGCATGCTAGACTGGTACTGCGACGACCATGGCCGATTGTGAGTATGCCGAAGGCTGCCAAGGCAGAACCCTTTTTCTAAGGTCGGCTCGCCTTACAGGCCCAAGCAAGCGCATTCACCAATTTTGCTTGGGAGGCGAATTCGAAGCGACAGGTGCTGCACTTTGCAATATCAACGTCAAGCATAACCCGCATTTGGTATTGCGTGTAAGACACTGTATGGCAGCGGACTGCGCTAATCCTGCCTCTTTCGACGCGGCAGACGTGCGTACTCTGGAGCGACTGGCTGGCCTAGAACGCGACTGCACCCCGGGCCCTCACGAGCAGAATCACTCGGCATCAATAAAATTCCCTCCTCGCGATAGGCGAGTGGAACGTCATATACCTTCTGTGGTTGAAGATGCACACTAGCTGTTTTTCAAGGATGTCGACATGAGTGATGAACCCGACGGCCCCCTGACCAGGGCTATCATTCACCCTAACCTCTCGCAAACCGAAAGTATGCGGCCGTGGCTAAGATGCTCACGGAAACTACGGCTGCAAACGACACTGTCATGCTATTTTCCTCTCTGCTTGGAATGTCTATGGAACACACTCATAACCAGGCTCAGCATGGTCCTCAAATGGTTATGCCTGGTCATCAGAATCAACTCTCCAATGGATTGCCTATGCAGTATCCGCATGCTCAGGCGAGCGACCTTTGAGTCAGCAATCGGTGAGCAGCCCGGTACCCTAGTATAGGTTGTGCCGCGATGGGGCGCAGTGTCCTCGGCATTGATCCGCGCAATACGACCACATTTATCGCAGCAGGCCAGGGCCGCGCCGCCACTGCCGATTTGGAGGATAGGGCATTGGCCATGCGTCACATACACGACAATATTGTCCAGTCACGATAGTGTTGAATCCAATTACCAAGACAAGAGTAGTGGCCGCTCATGCCGTCTCTGTCCTTGGCGACATTGGACTGATGATATGATCTACTTAGGCCAAGATGATATTAGGGGCGTTATGTGAGAACACCTCTATGGATTTTTGGATGTTCTGTTTATGTCTCTCTCTACAGACGGGTAGGACAAGGAATGGGTCAGTTTGGGTGAAAGCAGCCAATTGTACAAGGCCATGAACGCAACGGAATCTGGGAGATGGGGCAGGGCAAGAAAGACATTGCGCATATCCAGCCCGATGGCATGGAAGTGACATCGCCTTTTGCGGAGAATGAAGAGGATTGGGTTGTCCACAGTGGCCTTCAGCCTGTGAGAGTCAGAGAGAGGGTATATACTGTATGATGTCGTCCACGGGTCGCTGAGACTTGCTAATGTCGTCGCCGTATTTTTGGACCAAAGCTTTCATCTTTCGAACCTG